GTAATAATATTAATAATAATAATAATAATAATAATAATAATAATAATAAGAAGAAGAAGAAGAAGAAGAAGAAAGATATAAAGACACTCGGAAAGAGATTCAACAATGAACTATCCTTCTTAACTCTAACTGGCTGTTTTCGTCCTGGTGGATTCGTGCAAATGCCATTAGGTGCACTAAGAGGAATTGGATTTTTCCACAGATCATCTGTCTCAAGTACTACTCAGTTTCAGCAAATAAAAAAAGTACTTTTTATAAAAATGATCTACTTAAGTGAATATGGAGAACATTTTAACGTTTTACCTCTGAAATCATCTGACCCTCATTGTATAGGTTTACTGAATTCTCATGTTCCATCCTAGTGTGGAGATCCTTCTACAAATTGATCTGTGTATCTAGCAAGCTATAGAGAATTTCCTAAGAGCAGCAGTGTTGTACAGAACAGAGTGTGTACAGACAGGCCCTGCAGCAGCTTGGCTGTGGATGAGAAGATACATATGGTTAGGTCAGTGGTTCCCAAACATTTTGAAGCCATAGTGACTCTTTTAACAGCAAACTTTGTTCCATTTTTACATTAAATATCAAAATGTTTTTGAAGCACCTATGTGTAGGGTCTAGCACAAACCCCTCTATGGGTCCCTCCCCACAACCATGGCTATTGTAGTATCTTTGCGTGTTCTCCAGGTGAGTGGGGTAAAGTGGGGAAAGGGTGAAAACTGAATTAAATTCTGCTTATCCTTTGTCTTCTTAAACAGTAAATGCATCGTACGATCTGCAGTCTTCCTTCTGTCTAGTTCCAGCCTCAACGGTCTTTTGACAGTTTTCTCTCTCAGTAAAACCGTATACATTGTAGTGTACAGTATGCAGTGTAGTATGGAGTATACACACAAAATCTACAGCACAGGAGGGAAAGAATGAGGATGATAGGAGACTGCCCGACTGCTGTACACATACTACCTGATCGACTCAATTTAACACAAAACACATAAAATCCCTCAAATGAAAATTAATTACATAAACTGAAAACTCAAATGTTTCTTCACGGACTAACTTCACAGTCACAGGCTAACTTTAGGCTACAAGCCCTGAGAAGGAACGTGTCTGTATGAGTGTGCATGTGTGTGTGTTTAGACAGGCTGTGATAACAGTCAGAGCCATCTCTCCTGTTGAGCCAAACATTGCCTAATATGGTCTTCTTTCTCTTTCCCCATGGCTTTGTAAATCAGACACGGGAAGCTTTTTCTCCATTTTACTCCATCTGTCTGTCACACTAAATGTCTCTCTCGTACTCATGCAAACACACACATACACACGCACACAGCTAAGTGTAATGGGAAATTTTTTTGAAAATGAAACTCCAGGACTCACCAAAAAAGTTTAAGAGAAGAACTAAACGCTGTGTCATAGTAAAGAGACCGACCAAGTACAGCACATAAAAGTCACTGTAAAAGGGTCTTGAAACCAATTACCAAAAATGGTAGTGCTGAAGTGAATACTGAGTCAAACACTGGAGCCTGATCAGTGCAGTTGAAGCAGGAGCTTGTTGATGGTGCAGTGAAAAACATAACAAATGTTATGATAATTAAAGGGTTCTAGGGGCTCCAAAAGTCTGGACCAAACAGCCTTTCAGACCCAGGGCTTTCTGAGGCTTTTCAGTGTGATCTAAACCAAAATTACAGGTGTGAAACATCCTTCGGACCACAGTCTGGATCAAACAGCCAGACCAAATGAGGTGGTCTTGGTCTAGTTTGGTTTGTTTGCAGGAAGTTCTGGCAGAAGATTTTCACAGACAAGGATGTTCGTTTGGCACCTTCAAACTAGTGTAGTATTGTGCATAATAGTATTATAGCAGCAATTTTTCTTCATTTTTTCAAACTGCAATAGAAGGCCATCTGCTGAATTAACATTACGTTGACATCAGACACCAAACTAATGAATTGTAAGTGGAGACACAGCTTATGTACCTGATGACGACAGGACAGCATACAGTTCTTTAGAGCGCTTGAACAATTGCAACTTGACTGCTTAGCTAAAGTCTAAGCAGTGAAAGGAGCTGAGGGGTCAGTGGAAGCATTACTGCTGAAAGTATTTAAAATCTAAGTAGGCGCTATAGGCAGTTAAATTGTCATTTTGTATGTAAGCAGTACCTGAAATACTGGCATTCCTGATTGTGCACATGAGTACACTTACTTCGAGTACACACCACCAAGGATCACTGTGGTCCAGACCTTGGTATTTTTCTATTTGGCAGTTGCATGCCCCCAACCCCCTAAAGAGTTGGACCTTGTTAAAAAAAACACCAAAATAATTAGGGTTAGGGTTGTGCTGAATTTAGGTACTGGCACCTTTTTTTGGTCCAATTCAGGCACTGCATGTAAGCATTGATAACAAGAGAAGAGCTGAAAACAGATGAAATGTCATTTGAACTGTAGATAAATTGAAATTTCACATGAAGTTGAAGCGTGTACAAGAGTGTAAATCTGTGTCAGTTATGCCAAAAGTGAAACCGGAGACACTGGGGGCCTTTATCATTACAGATGGATTTAATAAGTTTATGTGATTTAATTGAAAAAACAAAAAAACAAAATGTAGCCTAAATGAGTGCTGTGTCTTAGAGTCGGTGTGGATTAATTTGTTTGGTAAAATGGAAGGCAGGCGAATGATAAACATCAAAAACACTTTCTGTGTGAATTGGCCTTCAGAGGAGTTCATCTCTTTCTCCATCTCTTTTTCTCTTTTCCTGTATTCTTCTCCTTCCTCCCACTTCCCTCACCTTCCACATGCCTCTCTTCGTCTTTCTACCCCTCCCCCCTCCTTCTCCCATGTGAAATTGACCCTGGGAATCATGGTCTCTTGGTCCCAGAGCGGGACTCGTTTGAGTGTTTGTAGGGGGTTATGTGAAAGTCCTCTTAACGCAGTGCCCTTAAGACTTTTGACTGCTCAATAAATAAATACAGCATTTCCTCCTTTCCTTCCTCCATACGTTTTCTCATGTCCAAAAGTTTCCATTAGAAGTCCCATTGTTAACACTAACCATGCTGTCTAGTCCTGTTCAACTAAACATTTGTGCTGACTTTGTGAGGACCAATTTCAGTTTTAGATTTCTGCATTGTGATGACTTGTTGGCTGGCTACTTCAAAGAACAGTTTGAAGGTTAAGACTTGCTTTTAAAGATTCAGATTTAGGGTTAGGCATTTAGTTGTAAAGTGTATATGTGGAAGTTGTCCTCTTACCTGGTCTATTTCTTCCACACCTCCTGATTCTCATCTTGATGCTCACCCATTGCTGTCCCTGGTGTAGATATGGTCCCAGTCATTGATGCTGTGTAAGTTAAGACGTTGAGATTGATGTCAGCCATACTGTTTCACATGGTAAATGGTAAATGGACCTGTACTTGTATAGCCTTTTTAGTCTACCGACGCATTCATACACATTCACAGTATTTTGCTTAAGGATACTTCGACACGTGGCGGGAGGAGCCGAGGATCGAACCAACAACCTTCTGATTAGTGGACGACTCGTGGACGACCCACTCTGCACTACTTCTGAGCCACAGCTGCCCCCCACATGAGATTTTTGCTCTGTTTTTACCATTTAAGGACAGCACCACACCCCACCGTCCTCCAGGATACAAGCATAGTCTAGACTTTTTATGTTTTGGGACTTTTTTCAGCTTCCCCTAATCTTCTCATAACCCCTTAGATATATCTTGCAACCCTTTTGTTAAGTCACAACCCACCAAGTTGTAAGCCACTGCTCTTTATAATGTTTCTCAATGAATGACAGTGTGTTTTGTGGGTCTTTGTGTGTTAATGAATTTATGTCATTACCATGTGGACAAAAATAAATGTATTGTAGGGTGGTTCAAAAGGAACAAATTGAAGTAAACACAGTGCCGTTCTCAGAGAGAACACCACTGAGAACAGATCAGTGAATGTACCATTTATCAAAGAATAATTCTCACTCTCTTAAAATGTGCTTGAGTTAGGTAATCCATCTCAAGGCCCCTAAACACTGTGATAACAGCAATCTTTTACTGCATGTCACACTGATAAGATAGGTTTCATAAAAACTTAGTTGAAGTTTTTGTCATACTGTAAGTAAGTATGTTTTGAGGCATGTCCAATTGTGCGATGAATGCCCAAATAAACTGAGATGAGTCATTGACTCACTTCATCTATTTGAAAATGCAGAAAGACGAGAAGACGTCATTTTAAAAAATGGCACCAATATGTTAATAATATGTATGTGTATATAAGTGTTTACAGTGTTGACACTTGCCAGTGCAGCAGAGGTCACATTATGAGAGTTTGTCCTAACACTGCCCAAACCCCTAATTCAGCCATTGTGGAGTAATGGATTACATATAATTGGAATACGAAAAAGGTAACCATAATCTGTTACAGATTACAGTTACATTTAGTAAAGGGGTTATTAACAATTAATAAGAGGCACATAATAACACTTCCGGAGTCCTTCAACAGCACTCTGGTCTCAGTGAAACCATAGCTAATCTTACAGCTGCCAGTTCATTATCATGGCCTCTATTGAAAATATACTTTTACTTGGGTGGAAATTTCACCATTATTTTGTCTCTACAGCAGAA